AAGACTTCATTAAAATACTCTTGATACAGAGGTTAGATTATTTTTTCATGGATTGCCAAGTCATACATTTGACATAATATTTGTCCATGAAATAGTGCAAAAAATATATTTATTGTGATCATGCAAAACCAGACAAGCTTGATTTGAGAAAAATAAAAACAAATTGATGATGAGAATGCTATTTTTGTCACTAAACAAAGATGAATCTGCAAAAATATTGCAGAACGATTGGTCTTTTCACACAAATTACTTGTATGCTATGCCTTAATTGGAACTACCTAAAAGTGAACAAGAAAGTCAGTTGGTCTTTATAGAGGTGGTCACTAAAAACAGGTTTAACATTATTACATTTTTTATTTCCCTGCTTTTTACTCTAAATTTACCAATTTCAACGAATGTTCAATTAATTAAACACTAATGGTATTTCGATGTCAAGTAAAATCAAATCAACAGAAATTCACTCACCTTGATAAAATACCCACAAAATTAACAGGTTTAGAGGCATGAAATAACAGCCTAACATTACCAGTGTTTTGTGTAAAAAAACTTTCTTCAATAGATCTGACTACGGCATAGATGTTCTCAATCTTTATCTTTGTATCACTGTAAACAAAAATTATTACACATACTAGCTGTCATATTCATAGTTGCCATCTTAAAGGATACACTGCATCACTTGTGAAAATAATTTCTATACTCCACAAAAGTCAGGGCGAGTCTATGACATTATTTCTGTCATATTATTACATATGTATTGCAGTATTTATAGATACAAGCTAACTCAATAATATTTGTATTGAATACTCGTGAAAATACTGTTGCAGGATACACGGTATCACTTGTGAAATAAACGTCAGGGCAAGTCATATTATTACTATTACATACATATTGCAGTATTTATATTTACAATCTTGCTCAATAATATTTGTATTGAATACTCAGGAAGATATGGTCACAGGATACACCGATGCATCACGTGTGAAAATAACCTCCATTGCTCAATAATATTATTATTGACTGCAAGATTTGAGACTAAACATTCCCTTCTAATCTGAAACTAAAAAATGTTACTACAATCTACTTACCAGATTTGACTAGATATCACTAAATCTTTGATGTTTTTATATTCAGAATCATCTTCATTTTCTAGGTGTTCAATATGACATCGTAATGCCTTGTACTTGGCTTCAACGTCACTACGAGTTGACCAATCAGTGGCTTCACTCACACTTACAATGTCTCTGATCAGCTGTGTTCATGATGAAAAGATACATATTATAGCTTTTTTTTTAATATGCTTCCATGGCAACACAAATATAGTATTTAATCTTTAGTGAACTTAATCTATTTAGAATTTTTCTATTTAGAGTTTTATTCATGATGAAATATTTATGGCTACTCTTGAACTCTGCCTTTGAATTCTAACACGCTTTCTCATCAACTTAGATCTTATACATTTGTAATCATATACTAAACAAGCAGCCTATCGGCTGAGATAGCTCCGCTGTTAGCAATGCACATTTCAATTAAAGAACTGAAGACATCATTAGAAAATGAACAATATGTATAGTATCAAAGCAATCGGACTTACAGTTTTTAACAAGAAGTCGAAAATATCACTTTTTACCAAAAATGACCAAAATATTCACCAAAATTAGAGAATTGAAGATATCATCACAAAATGAACAAATCTAAGAAAGGTTTACATGTAGTATCTATATAGTAATATCAAAGCAATTGAACTTTTGGTTTTAAACAAGTCGAAAATATCACTTTTTACCAAAAATTACAAAAATATTCACCAAAATTAGAGAATTGAAGATACCATCACAAAATGAACAAATCTGAGAGAGGTCCACATGTAGTACCTATATATGTAATATCAAAGCAATCAGACTATTGGTTTTTTACAAGGAGTCGAAAATATCACTTTTTACCAAAAATGACAAAAATATTCACCAAAATTATAGAATCGAAGATACCATCACGAAATGAACAAATCTGAGAAAGGTCTACATGTAGTATCGAAATATGTAATATCAAAGCAATTGAACTATTGGTTTTTAACAAGAAGTCAAAAATATCACTTTTTACCAAAAATTACAAAAATATTCACCAAAATTAGAGAATTGAAGACATCATCACAAAATGGACAAATCTGAGAGAGGTCCACATGTAGTACCTATATATGTAATATCAAAGCAATCGGACTTGTGGTTTTTAACAAGAAATCGAAAATATCACTTTTTACCAAAAATTACAAAGATATTCACCAAAATTAGAGAATTGAAGATATCATCACGAAATGAACAAATCTGAGAGAGGTTCA